TCAAAAGGCTAAAAGAGATACAAATGGCAAAGTTAAACTGTCAGTGGAACACAATAATCTGGAATTAAGAGGAGAACTAGGCTAGAAACATATTTGGGAAATGCTAGTAAAGAAACAGTTACAGCAGCATGAATGGATGAGATGCTATGGAGAACAGACACAGAAGGAGGAGGACTGAAGAATTCTACACTTTTGGAACAGGCAGAGGATGAGAAATCGCTAAAGGCAGAAGAAGGAAGAAAACTAGGAGAAGGAACAGCGTGAAGGCAGACAGAGGTGCAGCAAGGGGAAGGTCATCCACTCCGTAGAGTGCTGTGGAGATGAATCTGGAGACCAGTGGCAATCTTGGCAGGACAGCAACAATTTTCTTGAGAACACAGACCTTGAAGTGGAGTGGAATAACAACAACAGACCCGCACACACTCACAATATCTAGGACAAAACTTCAATAACAATAAAACAAGGCTTGAGTCCAAATGTGGTCAAAAGAAGAGTAGCAATCCTATAGTGCATGAATGCAGAACAACATGAATTTCTTTAACACCTTCTAGGTTCCGGTCACTGAGTCAGGTGGGTTTCTGCATGAGTCAGCTGTCTTGCCATACTACCCTGGGTGGGGAAAGGTTCTGAGAGAACCACCAGCCAGACATGGACCCAAGGCATCTGCCTACGATGGGCCTGGCACTGAATCTGGAATTGGGAGGCCTGGATTCTCTGGGCCTCTTGTCCACCGCTTATTAACTGTGTGACCTTAGATCTCCATTTATCTGGGTCTGTTTCACTGTCTGTAAAACAAGGCAGTTTAACCAGATGATGGCTGCTGTCACTTCTAGCTTTGATTCTGTGGCATCGTATAGGCATCTAGGAATATGGAATTGGTAACCCTTGCAAGAGCAATTTCATTGGATAGTGGGGATGATGTGAACTGAAATGTGAATACATAAACCCTCAGAGAAACCTGGCTATGAAGGACCTTAAGGAAATGAAGGCAGATGGATACATGCTTCCAATATCATCAGGACAACACTTTGAGGTTCAGATGGGGCAGCACCTGACCAGGGAGCCAGGCTAGTGTCAATGAACTCCAAAAGAAGAACTAACATTTACTCAACATGTAGTAAAGGTCAGTGAGTCTGCAAGGTGCTTCATGTGTGGAAAATGCTAGCTGTCCAGTGTTCTTCCTGCCCCCAATTCTCTCTGCCATTTATGGAATCACTGCAGGTACAAATTCATATGACAGTCAATCTCTGAGGAGCAAATGGAAATGAACAGGTTTCCCCCACCTCCCGCTTTTTATTCAAAACAGTCTCCACAGTAAATTTAGGTTAATACTCATAGACTTTTGGTACAAAGAGAACATTTTTCGCAAATTCAGAAGTCATCACACAAAAGAAGTGGGAATGTAAATTCAAGTCTTCTGTCTTCAATTCCAAATTTCTTCATCACAGAACAGCTACTTACTATTACCCTTCTTTAGTTGTCACATACCATATCTTTCATCTATTTCTTGGATTATATGGGTTTATATAGTACTTATCCCTCTATAGATTATATCTAAATCCTTTCTAAATAGGTACTCTAGTCTGGACTAAATAACTGTATTTTTCAGTCTTTGGAAGATGCATTCCAGTTTCTATCATTACCCTTTTGTGACTATAAGTCAGAGTCCAGAAAAATCTAACCTGGTTCTTGATAATATCTGGTATTCAGGTTTTATTATCTCCCAAGGTCTTCTTTTCTCTTCTGAAGTCTCAATCCTCAGCAAGAAGAAGAGAAGAAAATACCACCTACATTGCAGTCCTTTAATTCCCACCTAAAACATCTAAGTCAATGAACATACACATGATACTTCTTTTTATGATAAAATTTAGTCCTAACTGGTATGCCTGCTTTTTGGCAAACTCTTATGTAATAGCTTCACCTTTACTTCTGTTGATAAAAATTTCCACAATATTCACAACGAGAAGTCGCAGAGGCTTAATTTGACTAACAAAGAATGAGAACAAAGTAAAACTATATGTCTTTCTCATCAATGCATTTTTTAGGCTCATTGTTTTTAAAACTTTACATATGTTTGGATAATTTTCTATGTCAAGTTCAAATAATATGATCTACTTACATTTTTTTATGGTGGAGAGTATCAGAAAAGAAGTAGGCACATAAAATGTTTATGACAAACAGCATAATAAAGAAAAACAGTAACAAGGGTGAAAATGTTGACTAGATTAGTGTACTGTTTAGGCACAAAGAAGAAATGTAAAACTGAATCTTAATGTCTATTCAATTAAGGATACTACTACAAGTTATTATTAATCAGATTTAATAAGAAGGTATTCTTTTGCATGGAGTAATTTTTAACCCTCAGTAGCTAGGTGTTTGAAAAAGAGTATTGTAAGAATTAAAATCATAAAGTACTTTAAAAAGTATTATTCTATATAAGTGAAGGATATAGTTAAGCTTTATAATTATCATTAAGATTTTAGGTATAACTGAAGACTTGACCATCCCTTAAAGATAAATTTCCCTTGGAATTCCCGAGCAGTCCAGTAGTTAAGACTTCACCTTCCACTGCAGGGGACACAGTTTCAATCTTGGTTGGGGAACCTAAGATCCCACATGCCTTTCGGCCCAAGAGTAAAAATAAATAAACAAATATAAATAAATAAATTGGGCCAACATATTTAAAAAGTACTATTAAAAAAGGCAAATTTCCCAAATCAACTCTAACCAAATTAACAGGCAAAGAATATTAATATGCCCTCCTTCATTTTTAAAATATTTCACCTGAAATGGTATTATGTTGTTGTTGTTGTTGACTGGATAAGTCATGTTTGACTCTTTGTGACCCCATGGACTGTAGCCCACCAGGCTCCTCTGTCCATGGAATTCTCCAGGCAAGAATACTGGAGTAGGTAGCCATTCCCTTCTCCAGGGTATCTCCCTGACCCAGGGATTGAACCTGGGTCTCCTGCACTGCAGGTAGATTCTTTATTGTCTAAGCCACCAGGGAATTTCCCTAAATGGTACAATACAGAGCAATTTAGAAATACCAGAAAATCTAAACCATGAACAGATAAGAAGAAACAGGAAAATTCCTTTCCAAAAACAATCTACTAAGAAACAAGAACTGAATTTTGCTTGATTTTCAATGCATACATACCACCACAATCATACACACACATTAATTAATTTAAAATCCCTTTTAGGCACTATTTAAATTGAACCTGAATATAAAACCCTTCTATATATGTAAAGTATAACAAAACAAAAGAGAGGAATAATTTTCTGAAGACAGGCCTTTTTTTTTTAAAAAAAAGAATTCTTGTTCAAAAGCTTTTAAAAATAAAACATTTAGGGAAATCTGAATACAGACTTATATAAGATAGTACAGATTTATTTCATCTCTTTAGCTGATTTTTTAGCTGATTCCGTGGATGGAGGTGCCTGGTAGATGTCAGTCCATGGGGTCACAAAGAGTCAGACATGACTGAGTACCTTTCACCTTTAGCTGATTTCAATAATTTCTGGGCTAACGATACTGTGGTTAAGTAAGAAAATGCCCTTATTCTTAGGAGATATGTTATCTACAATTTACTTCCATGTAGCTCAGATTAAAAAAAGGTTGCAAAGACAGAGAAAAATCTGACAAAATGTTCCTATCTGGCAGATTTGTGACGTGGATACATGAACACACACACACCTGTTCTTTGTGTTATTCCTTTAACTTTTCTCTAGGTTTAAACATGATGGATATAAAAAGTTGGGAAACATTTCAGTTCATATGATGACAACTAGCAATATTTGCTTCCAAAGAAATGATTCGATCCAACACACGCGTCATGAACCATTATCAGAACGATGTCCTTCAGGTTTGAAAAGATTTCATTTCTCTAGAGGACAGAAAGGTGAGGATTTACTTGCGGAGGAGACGGGGGAAAGCGACTTCAAAGCTGGGGAGTCTGCCTGTTCACACAGAGGCCACATCTGGGGAAGAGGGGCTCTGTGTTCCTCTTCTCAGCTCTCCCCTACCAGCTGACTGATGGCTATCTGCAGGGCGCTGCAGGGGGCCTCAGAGAGGGGGTGAGTGCAGAGACAAGATAAGGAAAAGGCGGTGACCCCAGACTGAAGGGAGACGGGTCTCCCTGGGGTTTTCATTTTGGTTGGATCTCCAGATAGGGACAGGTAGGAACAGGGAGAGAGCTATTAGAAACCAGGTGATAAAGCAGAAAGAAATGATAATAAAACAAGCCATCCTCGGCTCAGCTTCAAGGAAGGATGACTTACAAAACTATTTCACTGTAAATGAACTTGTTTTTCAACTGTGGAGGGGAAGAACACAAGATGACTCTTCAGCTAAGAAAAATGTTCATTTTGAAACCCAAATCCAGAGAGTGAAGACTTGGGGAGAGAGCCTTTAAAACCAACGTGAAGCATGTGGAGCTTAATAAATGGAGGGGCTCTTAAAAATTCCTATTGTGAGAAAATATCTTCCTCACCACCCGGAAGACAAAGGCAAACAGTGAGGGTTGACAACGCCATATTAAAAAGCCATCCCTACCCAATTTGTTATCCACAAATATATATATTCTTTTTAATTTACTCTAAGCCAGCATGTCGGCTCATAACATCTCGTTTTTATGTCATTCTCTCTCAGCTATACACACAAGTCGGATCTGGGGATTTCAACTCGCGGTGAAACTACACTGAGGTTCCAGATCTCAGGTGGTGTTGGCATGAGAGCCGGTCTCTGTAGTCACAGAGAAGACAGTATCCTATGGAGTCTGGAATTAGTCCTACTTTGCACCATTCAAGCCCAAACTGCTGCTTCGAAAGAAGCAAGCCATCCTTGTTAATGGCCACGGCGGAAAAACACCACTGCCTTTCGATCTAAAGCCTCTCTCTGCACAGGGCAACGAATAAAGCTGAGGAAAGGGTAAACCTACAGTGGAGAGGGATGTCTGTGGAGGTTAAAGGACAAGCATCAGAAAAAGGCGAGTTACCTCATCCGATTGCGAGGGGCTGATTCTGGGCATGGGCGAGACTTGCGGCGTTTTCAACTGCGTGCTGTTGCTGTCAGGCACCAGCTCTCGGTGGACCGTTTGAATGTGGTTCTGGAGTTCACTTTCGGACTCAAACTTCACGTTGCAGCTGGAGCAGCGCGTCTTGGGGGCTCCGGCCTTGCCCTTGCCCTCCACGGCCCCCAGGTTCTCGGTCTGGCCCAGGCCCGGTCGACTGGAGCTGGGAGCGATGTTGACGCCGGGACTGGCGCTCTTACTGAGGTTCACGCAGCCCGCGCACAGACCGTAGGGCAGGCCGTTGATGTCCAGTTTCACCAGATCTTGCTTGGAACGGAATTCTTTGAGGCAGGACGCGCACTTGTACAGTTTGGGGACGTGCGGGCCGCGGCCCGTGGCCTGGACCGCGGCCCCGTTGCCGGTCTTCTGCATGTGGAACGTCCCGTGGATTTTGAGCTCCAAGGTGGAGGTAACCGTCTGCATGCAGACCACGCAGCGGAACCCCGTCAGGGAGTTCCGCAAGTCGGGGTGCATCTGGCAATGCTCCAGGAACTCCTCCTCGCTCTGCAACGGCATCTTGCAGATGCGGCAGTTTCCCGTATCCAGGCTCTTACTGTGCGTGACCTTGTGTTCGGTCAAGGTCAAGAGCGAGGGGAAGCGCTCCCCACAGATGGGGCACATGTAATGTTTCACGGGGCCCAGGTGCGTCTGCATGTGCTCCCGGAGGCCGTTCTCCGAGAAGAAGGTCCGCGAGCACACGTTGCACTTGTAGTTCCCTTTGATGAGCTCGGCTTTTTTCTTGACGATGGCGCTCTCCCCCGGCCGGATGTTGTGGTCCCGGAGCTGATGGTTCTGCAGCAGCGTCTCCATGGTGTAGGCCGCCCCGCAGATGTCGCAGCCGTACATGGGCTCCGAGGTGTCCACGTCCTCCTCGCTGCCGTCGTGGCTGTTGTGGGACTCCTGGCTGTTGGTCAGCAGGGTCTGCAACTCCACCTCCTCCTTCTGGCCCGGCTCCGAGGCCCCGTTGGCGCCGCAGTTGGGCGTCTTGGTGTCGAACACGCAGTGCTTCTCCCGCAGGTGCTTTTCCAGCAGGATGATGGCGTGGAAGGCCTTGCTGCAGAACTGGCAGTTGTACTTCTTGCTGTGCGTGGTGATGTGGCACTGCAGCTCCACCTCGGTGCCAAAGGACTCGCCGCAGAAGATGCACTTGTGCACTTTGCCCTGGTTCTCCAGGTGGTTGTGCTTCACGTGCAGCTGCAGGTCCGTCTCGTTGCGGAAGTCCCAGTTGCAGGAGGTGCAGCGATACACTTTCTTCTCGTTACTGTGCTTCACGGCCAGGTGGAGTTGGATGGAGACCTTGGAGTCGAACACCTCCTGGCAGAGGGTGCAGCGGAAGAAGACGAAGGTGTGCATGTCCAGCAGGTGTTTCTGCAGGTCGTCCACCGACGTGAACTGCTTGTCACAGCTCTCGCAGATGTAGTAAGTGGAGGTGATCATGAAATGAATGGTCACGTGCTTCAGCAGGGACTCTTGATTGGGGAACTCCTTGTTGCACTGAGGACAGGTCAGTTTCGGAAGCACGGTGTCCAGGTGGGTCTTCAGGTGAGTCTGAAAGCCGTCCAGGGACGTGTACTTAGCACCACACTGATTACAGATATATTCTCCGGCCTGCCTTGCAGGCGCCCCTCCTACCGCCTGCATCATCTTCAGAGATGTCTGCTCTATGGCCACAGGTGACAGGGGACTCAAGGCCCTGGATTTCTTCCCGTTGTGGATATAATTCAGGGCCAAGGGAATGTTTTTATGATTCTCTTTGATGTGCTTGTTCAGTTTAAGAACGCTGTTGAATATGGGGGAATTTGTACAATAGGAACAAGAATAGACTTCTACGACTGGCTCTTTCGGAGTCCCGAGCACTGGGGACCCAAATCGGGAGCCACTGAGGTCGCAGTGGACCTGTCTTATATGCTCTTCCAGCGAAGAGTCAGTGAGGAACCCCATGTAGCAGTGGGGACAGAAGAAAGCATTGCTGTCCTTCGCCGCGGGGTTCGCAAATCCGTGAGAACATCGGATGTGTTCCTGAAGGGTGTTGAGGTCGTTGACAACTTCAGAGCAGAAGTTGCACTGGTAGACTATGGCGGGCAAGGCAGAAACAATCAGACCTGGGTCCTGAGCTTCGTGCACTTGCTTAAGATGTTCATTGAGGTTATAGAGGGAGGGCAGTACCTCCAAGCAGTACTGACAGATGTGGGCCTGCTCTGGTTTATCTAAATGCATAGTTTTCAGGTGAATCTGCAGAACCGCCAGACTGGAAAACAACTGCTTGTTGCAGTAAATACAGCTGTAGGTGACCTTCGCCTGTTTACTCGAGGGGACGGTCATGTCTGGGGTCTGCTGAGCGGCCCGCTTCCTCCCCCGACTCTTTGGGATGGGTGGGGCGGCTTCCACCATGGTCGAGCTGTCCACTGAGAGGTTGGAGTCTGGGGTCGTGCTGGACACGGAAGTGTAGCCCACCGTGACCAGGGAAGGGCTGTTGCTATGGTTGCACGACTCCGGTTGCTGGTGACTGTCCATGTGGCTGTACAGCTCCTCGACGCTGTGGAAGCTCTCGGAACAGATGCTGCAGGAGTTCTTCTTCTCCCCGCCGTGCATCTGCTCCATGTGGTTCATCAGGGAGGTCTCCTCCACGAAGAGCTCGTGGCAGTAGACGCACTGGAGGGCCGCCCGGTCCTCGTTCGGGGAGCACTCGGGGTGGCACTCGGCAATGTGCTTCTGGAGGTCTTCCGGGAAGTCAAAGCCTTCCTCGCACTGACTGCACTTCTGAGTGTCCTTCATCTTCCAGTCCTCCATCCTGGAACCCGACTGGGAGCCGTCCTTGTTCCTCTCGTGGACCTGCATGTGCCCGTGTAAGGAACTAGAGGACAGGAACCCACGGCGACAAATGGCACATTTATATGGCTTGTTGGACGTGTGAGTCTTCAAGTGGATCTTCAGGTGATCACTTCTGGAGAAGGCGGCGTCGCACTCACTGCAGTGGTACTTCTTGTCCCCGGTGTGGAGTTTGATGTGGCGGTCTCGGCTCCGCTTGTGTTTGAACAGCCGGCTGCAGTAGGTGCACTTGAAAGGCAGCTTGTCGCTGTGACTCTGCTCATGGTGCTTTAGGTAGCTGAGACGGCTGAATGACTTGTCACAGAACTGGCACGGATACGGGAGTCCGGGGCCACCTTCTTCCTCTCCGAAATCACAACCTTCTCCGTGGCTGGGGGAAGTCTGGTCCTTGCTCGAAGGTGAGGAAGCTGGCCAGGAGCAGGTGGGGTCATCCTCTACATCCACTCCATCTGCAACGAGAAGATGGGAACTTTTCACTTTCCAGGTCGAGAGTTCAAGAACGAGTTTACTGTACTGTTTCAACAAGTACACAGGGCCAACTCGAACCGTGTGAGGGGAAAAAATAGGAGGAGAGACTATTTGGATGGAACACTTTCAAATCTGAGCCCAAAGCTTTTCTTCTACGTTGACTTTTCACTGGCTTGTAAAATATAAAATGATATTAAATAGTTCAATGTCTAAATTACCCCTTTATTACTTTTTATCATTCTTCCTTAGGAGCAAGGTATATATTATGCATTGACAATTTTATTAAAATGCAGATTTTAATATATTTAATGTTTCTTTTGTATTCATTCTAAAATGATTTGCATATTATGTGAGCATCTGAAGGACCAAATGAAAAGAGGAAATATTACAAGAATGATTTAAAATTAATGCAGTCAGCCCAGATGTCTAATATTTAATAAAAAATTCCCTCTGCATTTTGCTTGTTTTTATAGGAAAAGGCAATTCTGCAGGCCAAAATCTTTTATGGGGTTCTTATTGATACAGACCTTATTGCATTCAGCAAAAAAATATTAAAAAGTAAGCACATGAAAGAAGACAGAAAACACAATAATAATTATGTCGTGTGTAATAAAAGACAACCAGGATTTCTTCAATAACTGTAAGATTCGAATAGCATAGACCAGAAAATGGATTATTAGATGTGAGAAGGGTACGACTAGATATTACATGTAGCTAGGATCAGCCAGGATCAAGAAAAAAAATGAGAGTTTCACAGGGTCAGAATGTAATAGTGTATTTTGTTTGGAAAGTTCAAGAGGTGGCCCGCCATTTCTTCCTTTTGCTAAAGCTTCAGCAGCATGAACTTCCTTAGCCAAACAGGACCTGCACTTTGAGGTGAGCGGAGACAAAGCAACTTGTGAAAAACTGGAAACAGGAAAAGTGATAAATGATTATGGTAAATGCTGAAAGATTTATGAGTAACAAAGAGAAGATAAACAAGCCTGAAAGCCAGATATAACCTTAGCGAGCTATCCATAAAGTAACTTTACCTTCTATTAGGTGGTTTTTTTAACTGTGTTTGCAGGAAGTGTACACTCTTACTTCTGTCACTTTCTTAACATCCAAGTGGAAAATGAGACCTCTTAAATAGACTGTGAAACCTCTTTCTGACTTTTCAAAATAATTCTAGTCTATCATTCATGATTAGAAGACATCGCAAAAGCTTGTCACTCTCCAAAGGAGCAAGATTTTTCATAAATGCCGACAAGTAAGGACCATGGAGTAGGGTTGGTAGAGAGAGCGATTCTACTAGAATAGGTCTCGTTAAGAATATTATTGAGGTTATTCTAATAAGATGCAATTAGAATGAGATCAAATACATTTTAAAATCCTTCAAAGCTGAAGTTCACTAGCAAGCTATATTATTAACATAAAAGGAGAAACTGGCGAGCATTATGTAAACAAATTCCACGTCTGCTTTCTTTAAGGTAACAAGATTTTACTAGATTATCAACCTCTTGCTTATCCACAGGAAACAGATGAGGATCATTCCTTTCCTGCATCTAGAAACTGATGACAACACCATCTCACTATCAATGCCAGATGGCAACCATCTAACTCTGAGAAAACAACCAAACACCATTCCTGGATTCCTGCCCACTGCAACAAAGCTTCGCAATACAAGTTGAAAGCCACATGATTTTGCATCCTCATTTATATCCGTCTATAACCCAACATGTTTCCAGCATAAGAAAGAGTTTGAGAATTGCCAGTGTGATTTCAATTTAAAGGTAAATGCCTATAAAGAATATATGCAAGTAAACTCATCAGCCAACATACAGAGAAACAATTTTGAAAAATTAAAAACAAAAAAACCTCACTGATGATTTAGCTTTTCTCTTAAAGAAAATAAGCCATCTATAGCTGGTAGCCCTAAAACAAACCAAAGTCTTGAAATATTTTTTCCTAATTAAAATTTTCTAATATTTTACAAAAAATTTATATTATAAAATTATCTATCACTTTTCACACATTTATTATTTTGACTTATATCCTATTGTTTCACTTAAAAATATTTTCAAACACATCATCTGTGTACAGTTGGGGAAAACAGTGAATCAGAAATTAGTCATGCATCTATACTGAAAGAATAGAACTTAAACTTGATAATTTAGCAAGTGAATCTATTATCAAATTGCAGATTGTGCCTAGGCATGATGTATTATTATAACAACACACCAAGAATTATAGAGCAATAGACTATTATACACACGGTGCAATCCTTGACACCATGCTTAAATCAGGTTCTTGTCTGTGGCCATGCCTGATTATACCTATTACCTAACCATTCTCCTAAGCTTGTAAGTTTCAAATACAGTCAAGTGAGCTGAGGATCAGGAGTTTTTACTCAAACCAAGATGCAAGGGAGCTAGAAACCTTCTCTTCACTCTCTCTCCTGTCCCTATTACTTGGTCTTAGCAAAAAGATGTGATAATCACAGATGATGTATCTCTGTAACTGAGATACATGGAAATTGCCCTACTGGATTCACAGGCTGCAAAATGGAGGCCGTTGAGCAGAAATAGAAAGTTTGAGTAGGGAATGCTACTTTTGGAAGAATCAACAAAGGTTCCACAAAAAGTTGATTCCTGTTTTAAAGTCAAAATTATAAAATGCTCATTTGCTAGGACTGTAACTGAGCCTGTTCTCCTTGAGGTGCACAAGGAACTCACTGAGGAAACTCCCAGGGGTGTTAGTTCATGCTCTAAGGGTATCAGTATCGCCCCAGACTTTGTGTTAGTGGTGGTGTTGCCAATATTCTCTGAGGTCTACCTTAGTCTCCGCAAGCTACCCATTCCCATCACCTTAAGTTTTTTGGCATGCACAGCTCACACGATGCTTACATGGCTACTATAGACCTAAACAATTTCAAGTTGTTTTTTTCATCTGGAAGAAACTATGGAGGATTCTTTCAATCCCCGTTACTGAGTCAACTTGAACTTTTTTTCCCTTCAGCACTCACTAAGTGCTACTAACAGGAATGTCTTTTTGTGTTATGGCAAGTTTTCTGCATTTCAATGTGAAGTGCTTAACATGTCCACGTTAAATTTTAATTTTTGGAATCAATCACTTCACACTAGCTGACTCTCGGAGAGCTATACCTCTTACAACGGGAAGAAGGAAAGGGGAAAAAAATAAAAATACACAGATACAACTTTGCTGGAAACCAACTCCATGGCCTAAAAGTCTATTTAAAGATGCAAATGTGTGTGCACAGTTAGTGCAGATGTTTTTCTACAGCAACTGTACTTGCTGAGTTTCAGCATTTCCATAAAGCACATTAAAACAAGTGTGTGAACACTCGGAGATGAAAGTCTCGAACACTCCTGAGATTTGCAGTGGAAAGGAGAGCCGCCTGACTTTTCTCCAAGCAGACAGGAATGCCCATGATTCAGCAGCCTGAGTAAATAAAAGAGGTCCTTATTTCCTAATTTTGCTGGCTGGCCACACTGCAGCAGCCTCTGTGCTCCTGCCAAAGGGGATACAGAACTGGAACTACACCCAGCCGCTGAAGGCCTGTCTTTGTTAGCCAGCCAGGCTTTCCCGACCATCTTCTGGCAACAAAACTGCCATATCCTGCGAGGAAGACCTCCATCTCGGGCTTGATGGTTCTCTAGTCTGCCTGAAAGGACGAAACAACAGATTTTGCTAGGTCTGCATCGGAGGAGGACAGCTGGAAACTCAGTTAGCGGCAGAGCCACACCTGTTCGGTCATATTGATGGGAGAAAGTGCTCACTAACAGAAAAGTGAAGTCATGCTAGAAGGAGGGATCGCACAGGGAAAAGGCAACCAGAGCGCAAAGTGCGACCTCTCTGACATGAGCCATCGCCCCTCATAGACCAACCTGGGAGGAGAGAGCAAAGATTGGCTGTGATTTTATCCTGGCCGCTGGGGGACAGGCAGATGAGTACACCGCAGGAGGGGCTGCCCAGCAGCCAAATGGGGGGCTGATAATGTCCGTCTACAGCCTGTCACCGTGGAAGAAAAGTGCTGCTGAGGGTCCGGCTTTTCTTTCACTTTCAAGCCCAACTCAAGTAGTCATTAAAAAAAGATCAAAGAAAAAGGAGGAGAAGATGCTCAGGAAGGTCTGGGGTGATGCTAAAGCTTTTCTTTTCTTTTCTTTTAATTTTTTTGCACTATCAAGCAGGTCTTAGTTGGGCTTCCCTGGTGGCTCAAAAGGTAAAGAATCTGCCTGCAATGCAGGAGAGGGTAAGGTACATGCTTCTGGAGGGCAGGGACCAAGTCTCTTAGAATGCTGACTCCAACAGTATGGGCAGTCCTGAAATTATTAAGGAGAAAGAGAAATAACAAAGTGGATTGACTCGACATGTTAAAGAAGTGATCTGAGTCTCTGAAGATATGGAAACTTCCAATACTTTTAGTTCTTTGTAGGGCTGGCCCCACGAGAAGCTGGCCTACTGATGTCCTTTGCTACCTGAGTTCATTCACTGTAACTGCAGGGTTCTCGCTAAACCACCCTTTGGGAACTCAGTATCATGTGTGTGCAAGATTTCCTTAACAGGAACAGGATTTAGATCACCAGTTACTTTTCAAGTGTGGAAAAGAAGACCGAATACTGACAGCTCTGGTACCTCTGTTTTTGGAGGTCAATGACTCAGAATGAAAACTAAAAGTCAAGAGTCTGGAGTTTTATTTCTAGCTTCATAATGGACTTAGAGAGTGACCTGGCCAAGTCATTTAATCTGCCCCTACCTAGGTATTTCACCTGCAATATGAAGATAATAATTCTTGCTACTTACCCTCTGGGGTGTTACAAAGATTAGTGAACATTTCTAGGGCGCCTATCATTGCTGGAAGAAAAGGTGCATATGTAAACAAAAAGACTTGTATGTGTTGCATGTATTAACGTTTTCACATGTAAGCTTCTCATATGTGCAGTATAAACATATTTTAGCATTTTCTTTTCTTTAATGGAAC